AATATAAAGAAATATATTTAATGAGTTCCTAGAGCTGGTGTCACGACCCGCTCCCTGTATTCAAGGGTTAAGTATCGTGATGGCCAGTAATTGCAGTTATTTCTGGCCAAATCTTAAACAAATCAATAAACGCAAGCGGAAGTAATATATAAATGAGGGTACCAAAATAATCATCGGAGCTTCTATTTTTATTACAAAATTTATTGACAAAAAAAGACAATATTTACATATAAGTGTTGTGTGTGTCTATTTCACAACCTGACTTCTCAAAAGCTATTTTTGAATTGCATTGTTTCTTAAAAATTGGTAAAAAGCTATAAGCACATGACAGAGCGAGAAATATTATACCAAGAGTATAAGGGACACGAAATAACCATGGATAGTTAATTAGACCAAAACATTTATATAACTCAGTTTGGTAAATAAATCATTGGTAAACAAATCATTTAAGCGGAAAAAACTGAAATACAGAAATTATATAAATAAATAACTATAATTACGGTACTGAACAAAACAGAACAGAGGTCACAGAAGTGACAGTCATAACAGAAGTACGGATTCAAGGGGTGACTCGTACGAACTATAGAGGTGGCTCCCACAATAGTGTAACACTTATCTCCGTACATTACTTTGTTCCGCACAGAACAGAGGTCAATGGATCCATGACAAATAGAGGGCCACAAAGTGGTCAAACAGAGACCGATAGTTATTTAAGTCTCCAAGGCATGAGACTCCCGTGGTGGTACTTACAAAACATAATTGTATATAAGGTCATAGTCAAATATACTTTAAAATATAAACAAATATATCCATGAGTTTTCTTTTAAGCAAATAGGGTTTAGAAAATAATTCACCTAACTGAAATAATAATATAGTTTATAATAATTTATAAAACATAACTTGTGTAAAATAAATATGATAAATCAAAATATACGTAAAATATATTATAATAACTCAAAATATAATATAACTCATCTTAACTTTAATAACTCACTCTTTTTTTTCACTATCAAAAATCTTTTCAACATCTAATATTTTTTTCCTTCATTCCTCTCTTCCTTTCCTTTCCTTTCTCTCTTTCTTTCTTTCCTTTCTTCTCCTCTTTGATCTTGCTCTCCTCTCCATTTATAAGGAGGCAGGCCGAACCATTTCCCTCCACGTGTCCACGGCAAATCCTCCTCCGATTTGGATTCAAATCCTTTTAGATTTATAGTTATCTTATTAGCTTAAAGTAATTATATTTTGGCCTCAATTGTTTATAAATAATTATATTCTTTCTTTATTTGATAAAAATACAAATTAATTCTTAATTAAATTACACTTTATTATATATTAATAAAAAATTAATTAATTATTTTACTATTACACCCATTATTATTTATTTATATTTTGACTTCTAATATTTTTTACTAATTATATTATTTTATAAAATTACACATAATAATATAAAATAAATTATATATTTTTTTGATTATAATTAAATAATATTAATATAAATTCTACAGAATAATTAAAAATTTGAGTTGTTGACTAGAAATGAACGATAGATAGATAGATGTGTTAATTGGTAATAGTGGGTGATTAGAAGTATTTTATAGAGTTAGTGATATCTAAAGTTACAAGATAGCTAAAAAGGTGGTCAAAGATGAAGACGGTGACCAACCGTCGAAAAGTCGTATGAGATTGGTTAGATCTTGTCACTTATTGCGATATGTGATAGTGCTCGATAGTAATAAGTGGTGGCTGAAAGTAGAGAAATGAACGATAGATAGATGTGTTAATTGGTAATAGTGGGTGATTAGAAGTATTTTATAGAGTTAGTGATATCTAAAGTTACAAGATAGCTAAAAAGGTGGTCAAAGATGAAGACGGTGACCAACCGTCGAAAAGTCGTATGAGATTGGTTAGATCTTGTCACTTATTGCGATATGTGATAGTGCTCGATAGTAATAAGTGGTGGCTGAAAGTAGAGAAATGAACGATAGATAGATGTGTTAATTGGTAATAGTGGGTGATTAGAAGTATTTTATAGAGTTAGTGATATCTAAAGTCACAAGATAGCTAAAAAGGTGGTCAAAGATGAGGACGGTGACCAACCGTCGAAAAGTCGTATGAGATTGGTTAGATCTTGTCACTTATTGGCGATATGTGATAGTGCTCGATAGCAATAAGGCTGAAAGTAGTGAATGAGAGGAGAAATCAAAAACTTGTTTTTAAAAACAAGTGACAGCATTTTTTTTTTTCTCCGCGTGTGTTTTCAAAAATTTTGAAATCATTTTTTTAAACAAAAAATAATATATCAAATAAGTTTTTACTTTCAATTTCTAAAAAAAGTAAAAACAAAAACAAAAATTAAGAAACAAAAATATTGGTTGTTTGTTAACCTTTTTGTTTATTGTTTTCTTTATATTTTTTTCGTTTTCAAAAAAATAAAATGATTTCAAAATTTTTAAAAACACACCCAAAAAAAAAAATAAAAAAAATCCACTTGCTTTTAACATAATTTTTTATTTTCGTCTCACTCATCTCACCGCCACCACCGCGGTTTGCAGTGGATAGCGAGCCCAGTTCAACCTTGAGCAACTCTCTAGTGGGTAGGCAGTCACATTTAAACACTAATTCCAGTGAAAACCTTTGGCCTCACCATATTCGCCCACCCCTTTATCGCTGGTTATTAAATTCGACGATTCATCAGATATATATTCCTTCCGTCTTAAAATATTAGTCTCTTATTTTATTTTTTATTATTTTAAAATATTAGTCCCTCTTCAAAAATCAAGTACAAAAATAATATAAATTTCTTATTTTACCCTTCTTTTAAATTAATAAACAACATAAAAAGTACAATTATACATTGATATTCTCAAAAAATATACTATCAAAAGGATAATTTTAGAAAATCAACTTTTTTCAAATGTAATAATTGTACTACTAAAAAAAATTGAATTCCCCAAAAGGAACCATTATTTTGGGATGGAGGGAGTATTTTTTTATTTTTACAATATTTTTAGATACCAAATAAATTATTTAGGTGCCGTTTGGTAACACTTACGTTTTCAGTTTTCTGTTTATATTTATAGAAATTTTAAAAACTCAAATAAAAACTTGTTTGGTAAAATTTTTGATTTATAAATCAGTGGTCTCAGTTTATGAATTTGGCCAAAAAATGAAAACACAAAAAAAGTGTTTCCGTTTTGAGTTTTGAATTTTTTTTTTTTTACCACTCAACACTAGCCACCACCCGCCACCGTTTTCCACCACCGTCTTCCGCCACCACCACCCACCCTCTACCACCACCTGCCACCACCACTCACCACCCACCTGCCACCACCACCCGCTACCACCACCCATCTGCCACCCACTCGCCACCACCACCCATCCCTCGCCACCACTATCACCAACTACCCACCTGCCATCCACCCGCCACTACCATCTACCGCCGCTATCCGCCACCTACTTGCCGCTACCCGCCTGCCACCACCATTATTTTGGGATGAAGGGAGTATTTTTTTATTTTTACAATATTTTTAGATACCAAATAAATTATTTAGGTGCCGTTTGGTAACACTTACGTTTTCAGTTTTCTGTTTATATTTATAGAAATTTTAAAAGCTCAAATAAAAACTTGTTTGGTAAAATTTTTGATTTATAAATCAGTGGTCTCAGTTTATGAATTTGGCCAAAAAATGAAAACACAAAAAAAGTGTTTCCGTTTTGAGTTTTGAATTTTTCCACCCACCACCACCACCACCATCACCCACCACCCACTCGCCACCTACCCCCGCCACCCACTTGTTACCACCTATCACCCGCCACCGTCACCCACACACCCACCACCACCACCCACCACCAACCGGCCTCTACCGGCCACCACCCGCCATCCGCCACCCAACTGCCACCACCACCCGCCACCACCACCACCACCCACCTGTCACCACCACCAGCTATCCACCGCCCACTGTCACCATTTTCCACCACCGTCGTCCGCCGCCACTTGCCACCACTTGCCATTTCTCACTCTTTTTTATATTTTTAAATTTTTTTAAACATTTTGTTAATTACTAAACGCGTTTGTAGTTTATGTTTTTCTAAAAATAAACAAAAAATAAACAAAAATCAGTTTATAAAATTTTTGTAAATATAAACTGAAAACGTAAACGTTACCAAACACAATTTTTATTTTTTTGTAAACTAAAACTGAAAACATTAACAAAAGAGGCCACCAACCATATTTCACTTATTTTTTATGTTTTTTTTTCTTCTTTTTCCTGATATTCTCCTTTTAAAATCACAAAATTTGGATATGAAAATAAATATACTGTTTTTTTTTATGGGAACAGATAAAAATAAATATTATTCAGCTTGTTTGGTTCTGGTTTTTAGAAAATAGTTTTTAAAAAATTTTACTTTTTTATTTTTCATATTTTCATATTTTCAATTAATTTTTTGAGCAATTTCTTGTTTTTATTTTTTCACACACCTAATATAAATATACTTAAAAAGTATAATATTATGAATTTTTTTAAAAAACATACTATGGCAAGTGACTTTTTTAATCAAAAAATACAAAAATTTAGTATATTTTTTTTATATTTTTGTACATTTATTAATTTTTTAAAATATTTTTTTATAAATATTTTACTATTTAGATATATCTAGTAATATTCATCTAAAAAAATAAGAAAAATTACTTAAAATTTTAAAAATATTTACTAATAAAAAAATACAAAAAATAAAAAACTAAATTTTCAAAAAAACTGAATCAAACAGACTGGTTGATTTGCTCAACAATCCAAACAACCACGTGGCTTCGGAGTTTGTCATTTCAATTCCACGTCAGCCGCAGCAGTGTCAATTCCAAGTTCAAAGGACAACACTAAAAGACGAATTAACCCAATCAAAACTCTATTATTCACAAATAAAGTACACAAACAACCTTCACCACAAAAAACCACCAAGGGTATAATCGGAAAACCAACTAACAAATACTCATCACCGTCAATTTTCTTCCCCATTACGCGCGCACCAAAGATCTTCAACGCGCACAAATACGACACCGTAATGCCGGCCGCTCCACCACCGCCGCCGCCGCCGCCGCCGCTGCCGTCTCCTGCTAGAAACCCTGGCAAAATCCTAAAACTCTCTTCCTCTTCTTCTCCTCTGCTTTCGAAGCCTCCACACCTTCGATCATTTGTGAAGGATCGAAGAATTCGATGCGATCTCAGTAGCTTCGATGGTCCTCAAAAATGGACAGTCGATTGCGTTTCCGGAAGCGATCCGATTCACATCATCCTGAAACCTCCTCCTTCTTCTTCGATTCCAATGGCTTCCATTGATTCGACTGTGAAGAGCGCTAAGAAGGTTTGCCTCTTCTACTGTGCAGAAATGGAGGCTCTTGCCGAGCGAGTCGCCGCTGAATCTGACGCAATTGAGCTTCGCAGCATCACCTGGAGGTATTGTAGTTGTGTTGATCATTAGATTTATACGAGTTGATAGATATACTTCAAATTTAAGTTCTTCATTGCAAATGGCATTGTGATTTTACCTTTTTTTGTCTCTATGGATTGTTATTTGAGTTAATCTTCCACACATTTTGATGCAAGTATGAGAAGCAAGATGGCTTATTTAGAGCATCTCCAATTATTCACCAATTCTTAAATTTTATGAATAAGCTAAAAACTTGCTCATCAATCTTGTATTAAATTAAGAGATAGGCAAAATTTTCACTAAATCAGTGATAAACAAAATGCTTCACCCAAAATTCCAAAAGTCATATTTTTTCTCAAATTTGATGAATTTGAAAAGGAGTAAGGATTTAAGATGATTGAACTTCACAAAAATGGTTAAAATTGGTTTTTAGGATAAGTTTGGAATTTTTCAAAAAGATTTGATAAAAAACGAAAATAAAGGGTTGGAGTGTTCCAATATGAGATCAAGCTTTTAACCAAATTGTCACTCAAATTTGATGGAAAAAGAAGAAGAAGAAGAAGAAGAAGAAGAAGAAGAAGAAGAAAGAGAGAGAGAGAGAGAGAGAGAGAGAGAGAGAGAGAGAAGAAAGAGTAACGATTGCAGATAGTCTTTGGTAATAGAAAATCATAGGGTTCTAATAAAATTTTTCCTTGTCTTCATGTTTACAATGTAGTATGAGTTAAGGATTAATTACACGGACACCCTCTCAACTGAATATTACTTTACCCCTGCACCTTCAGAACCATACATTTCGACTCTTCAACTATAAAATTGTATCATGTTGACCCTTACGGTCTTTTATAGTTGAGTGGTCTAAATGTATGGTTAGAAGTTAAGCAGCCTTATTAAAGGGGCACCTAGGCATGCGCCTAGGCTCGAGTCCCATCTAGGCCCAAGGTTTGCGCCTTGTAGTGTTTCAGGGCAGGCGACTTCGATAAGATGCGCCTAGGCGTGCACCTAGGCCCAAGTCCCGTCCAAGTCCAAGGTTTGCGCCATAGTGTATCAAGCCAGGTGATTGTGATAAGGCGCCTGACTGGCCCAAGGCTTGCGCCTTGAGGGCTTTTTTTATTATTGCTTTAATTGGTTTTGTTTAAAATCTGACCATTGATTTAAAATGGTGCAGTTACAGAAGATCCCTACACTTATTACAGATGTCAATACATTGGCCATTCAACCCCAAATCAATGATAGAAGAAAACTTAACCCTAATTCCTAATCTTCAAAAAACACTAAATGTTTAACATTTCATTTTGTTTATGTTGAACCCTAAAGTATTTACTTATATTAAATTATATTTTTTTCCGTACAAGGTGTGCCTCACTTTGGTGAAGCCTGCGTCGAGCCTTGAGCCTTGAGCCTTGAGCCTTGAGCCTAAGCCCTAGGAGACCTTGGCGCCTTGGTGCGCCTATCACCTTTAATAACATTGAAGTTAAGGGGTAAAGTAATATTTCAGTGATTTTGAGAGGGTGTGCATGCACTTAACCAACAAACAAATTTGGTTCACTAAATTTTCCTTGCATGGTGTTTCAGTTTGTCCATGCGTGAACTATGAAGTTGATGCTCTTGTTCCTGAACACATTTTATGCAATTTAATGCTTTAGGACATTTCAAGACGGATTCCCAAACTTGTTCATATCTAATGCTCATGGCATTCGTGGACAACATGTAGCATTTCTTGCCTCATTTAGTTCTCCAGGAGTGATTTTTGAGCAACTCTCTGTTATCTATGCATTACCCAAGCTATTTGTCTCCTCATTCACTCTTGTCCTTCCATTTTTCCCCACCGGCACTTCTGAGCGTATGGAGGAGGAAGGAGATGTTGCAACAGCTTTCACTCTTGCTAGGATATTGTCAAATATTCCAATTTCAAGGGGAGGACCCACTAGTCTGGTTATTTTTGATATCCATGCATTGCAGGTTTGACCAATATGCTGCCGTTGATGATTTGATGTACTTTTCACATTACCCTCACTGATGAGTTTTTGTGTTTTTATAGTTTTCTTGAACTGCAGTGTTATTTATGATTCACTGAACATCTTTGCTTCATTGATTTTTGTTGCCCAGGAGAGATTCTACTTTGGTGATAATGTTTTACCATGCTTTGAAAGCGGGATTCCTTTGCTTAAGAATAGGCTTCAACAGCTCCCCGATTCAAACAACGTAACATTTTTCTTTTATTTTTTATTTTAACTGTGGAAGACTTTAAGACAATATATCAATTGTTCAGAATTAATTTTGTGAAATAAAGCGTCTTTGATTTGCTGGTTTTTGCTGACAAATCCAATGTTTTGATGAAGGGCACCCATGGCATGAAATACTGAATGCAAAGGTGCTCAAATGAACCCATTCCTACAGGCAAAATACTATACATCATAAGATTTCAATTTCTTCCCTGTGTAATTTTGTTGAAATTTTAAACCAGATAATTTGGCATGAGATCTCAGTTGAGTTTCTTAGCTGAAGATGGGTTTGGTGTTTTGATTAACTTTGACATTGAGGACTTGCACTGGTTAGATGATGAGATTTATTGCATATTCAATTCTTTTTAATGTCTAGCAATTCTTATATTCTCACTCTCTTTTTAGATATCCATTGCTTTTCCTGACGATGGTGCGTGGAAACGGTTTCATAACCAGCTGCAGCATTTCCCTACGGTATTGTTCCTATTCATAATAAGGATGGTCTATTTCCTTCACCACCTTGTACATCAAAATATCTCTATTGTGTTATGCATAACCTATTGCATGATTCTCAGATTGTTTGTGCCAAAGTTCGGGAAGGCGATCAACGCATTGTACGGCTCAAAGAGGGAGACCCTAGAGGACGTCATGTTGTAATAGTTGATGATCTAGTACAATCAGGTGGCACGCTGATTGAGTGCCAGGTATGGAAATCCTTAAAGATGATGCTTTAACCTTTTGTTATCTCTGGTTGTAGACATTGAACTCCAAGAATTCTTCTTCTTTTCTCTTATTTGCAAGGCTGTACTTATCCTTGAATTCCTGTCTCTTGACTTTTCTAGAAAATGTTGGCAAAACATGGAGCAACAAAAATCAGTGCCTATGTGACACATGGAATTTTTCCCAATAGGTCATGGGAACGCTTTGAATATGATAATGGAGGTATGAATAGAAAGAATGTATCATCTTTGTATTTCCATTATGATAATTCTTTTCATTATTAGTATTTTTGTGTGCTTTTATCTTGTCCCGTGATTTAAAACGGCCACTTCTGAGTAGAGTTACAAGGTTTATATTTGAACTCGTTGCCTCTCAGAAGGCCCTCAAGCTCGTCTTATTAGAACTTTGATTTGTGAATTTCTGTGAAAAAATTCTGCTAGACATTTTGTTAACCTGCCTCATTCCCTGGTGGTAAATATACAACCCAGAAGACATTCTATCACTATTTGGTTGGTGCCATGTTTGCAATACAGTCCATCTTTTTCTTTTCTTGCTTTCCTTAATTTTTTTACCTTTTTCTTTCTTCAATGAAGTTTGAAAAACCCTGTGTCTTTTTTTATCGCTATTGCATTCAATGGCATTCTTGAAACTCCTCCAAAACTTCTTTTAGAATTTACTATCTTGATGCACATTCTTTTTTATGTACTCTTTGACACTTGACCCTAAAAAGCTTTAGATCCATCCAGCACGCCTACCATTTGAGTGCAAACTATCTTCAAATTAAACCATGTAGTTGCAACGACTTCATGTTGGTACTAGGTTTTTTTGGCATATCATGTTGATCTTTGCAGTAGTATTGTTCTTAATGGTTTTTCATTGTCTATTTTCAAAAATAGAAGAAACAGAAAGTAATATGGAAATCTTGTTTGGCAAACTATTTTCGAATGCTTGATGATTTGATTTTAATTAAATGACAATTTTACCCAGAGACAAGAATACCTGTAGCTTCTATTATCCTAAGTTGCATTTTCATTTGTGTTTGTCTTCCAAACCATTAATTAATTTCATCTCTTTTTCCTTTGTTTGCACTTGTTCCCTTCAGGGTGTCCTGAGAATGGATTAACGTACTTCTGGATCACAGACTCTTGTCCACGGACAGTGCAGGCAGTGAAGAGCCGACCCCCATTTGAAGTTCTTAGCCTTTCAGCTTCCATATCCGCTACCCTTCAAATTTAACAGTGGTTTTGAAGCATATGATTCCTAACTCTTAATAAATGGGACATGTTGGTTTATTGTGTGCTTGTTTTCATCTCTCCCGGAATCAACATCTATTGGAGACTAACAGACAGTAGGAATTTATTGGTGTTCGTAGTGTTGATTTACAATAAAATTCAGACAGCATTTTTCCTACCGTCTGAAACATATTCACAAATTGTAACACTAATAAATTGATGTATGGGTAGTTCATGAGTACACCACACTGCTAGAGACCTACATATGAAACCTTGTCGCTCGTGTGCCCTTTGCATTGGTATGCTCTGTCGTCAATGCAATCTCAAATCTAGACATTTGATCACAAAGTGAAAACTATAGCATTAATTTATACCGGCATTTATAAATAAGCATGTTTTATTTTATTGATGGCGTTTTATAAATGATAGTAGCTGGAAGATAATTTCTCTACTAAATTGAAACATTTTTAATTGTGTCCCACGTTCTTTTTTAATTGTGTCCCACGTTTTATGTTATTATTGAGGACAAATTTCACTTTATTATCATGTGGTTTGGGCTATTTGCAGTTTATCCCCTAACGTTTGGACATAACCACATACAGTGGCGGAGTCAGAAAATCAAATTAGAGGGGCAGTTATTAATTATAATATTGAAAAATTTTACAAAAATATTTAACGTAAGTTTTTATGATTAATTTTGAGAAACATCAAAAAAAAAAAAAAATAATGTAATTTATAACTAGTGTATCATGGACAATATAAAAAAAATATGGATACAAGTCTTAAAATAAATTATATAATGATAAAAAAAAATTATACCAAATTTGATTAAAAATTCAATGTAATGGTAATATCACGTCATCATTAGTATGTGATATTACCAACTAATAGTAAATAAACACATAGAGAGTGAATCTCACATGTCAGATGTAACTAACAATCCAATAAATTTCATATATTTATAGTGAGATTACTTATACTTGCATGTCAATAATAATGACATCATCGTTACGTTCAAAATTTTTACTAAAATTTTCATAGATGATATAGTTTATAATAGTCTCTTCATTTTCATTCAAAACAATCATTATTGTTCTCATAACTTTTAAAATGTCAATTGACATTTCACTCTAATAATATTTTTGTAATTTTTTTTTATTTAAAATATTTTCTTTATATTTGCAACAAAACAACAACAACAACAACCCCCAATTAGTACACATTAATGTGTGTTTGGGAGGAGAAAGATTGAGCACATATCTAACCTTTGACATAATGCACAATCCCAAGATTTAAACCCATAACCTTAAGGTTATTAGGTAAAGTCTTAACCATTGAACCAATAGTCATCCTTTTTTTTATATTTGCAAAAAAGAACATAAAAAAAAATTTAAAAAAAATCCCAAAATTCAGGGGCACGTCCCTTGCTGCCTCCGCCACTGACCACATAATCTCCATGTAATTTGTGGATCAAGGTACACCACCTACTTTTCAATCCAACTTAACTGGCTGTGAGATTTATATACCCATGAAAAGAATAAGCTTTATTTTAAGACTAAAATACCATTTACACATTTTTAAATTTACAAAAGCATGTCATTCTTCTTCCTCATTCTCTCTCTACTATTTCTTTTTCTATTCTTGAACTCCAACCCATTATACTACAACTTCCTCTACCCCTTCTTTGGATGGGGCAATGGGCAGTGAGCCAGAAAAAAATAAATATATATATATATATATGTATGAACTTGTAATCAATGTTAAATAATTGGATAATATATATACATTTACAAATTATATATATATATACATACAAATTATATATATACAGTTGCAAAGCATTTTGAATTCTGAGTCATAAACACATAACCGATACTACTGTTGCGATTGCCTTTTTTTTTAAAATTGGGATCTGAATTAACTTGTCTACTGAAAATTTTCATTGCCAAAAGATGATAACTAGTAAACATGTCCCACTGTCAAAAATAACCACTTTCGAGTTTTGGGTTGATGGATTGGGAAAAGATTGGAAATTGTTAGAATACTTGTTTGATCTAAATTTTTAATGTACAGATTTAGCCCATGATATTTTCAAATTCTCTCTTAGATTTTTTTTTAAAATTTTTTTTGAGTTGTCCCAACATACCACTCATTATCAATTTTTGTCCATTAAGAGACTCAACAGCTCAAGCAACATCATCTGCAATTTCTAAGTTCAAAAATCCAAACATATATATACAGATTATATATATGCATTTACTATTAATGAATGGTGAGAATGGGTGAGTGCCTAGTTGTGTGTTGCTTGGGTTTCTTGCAGAAGTTGGAATGAAATTTGTTAGAGTTGACAACCTGAAAGGAAGAAGAAAGAACATAGGGGTGTATATATGTATATATATATATTTGCAGGTTTAATTCAAAAGAGAGAAGATGAAGAAGAAGAGGGCATAAAGGTTAATTTATAAGTTCGGTTAACTGAGGTTAATGTGCGTTTTGGGTGACTCTATTTACACACCACGTTTGGTCTTAAAGCACCCTATTACTTAGGTCACACATTTAATAATTTGAAAAAATATACACCTTGTTTGGTTCTGATTTTTAGAAAATAGATTTTCAAAAAATTTTACCCTTTTATTTTCTGTATTTTAATATTTTCAATGAATTTTTTTAATGTTTTAATCAATTTTTTTTTTTAATTTTTAGACACACCTAATATAAATATACTTAAAAAGTATAATATTTATGAAAAAAATATTTAAAAAATACACTAAATACCAAAAAATACAAAAAAAAAAATGAAAATTCAATACAATTTTCGTATTTTTTGTATATTTTTAAAATTTTAAAAATATTTTTCACAAATATTATACTTTTTAAGTGTATTTATGTTAGGTGTGTCTAAAAATTTTTAAAAAAAAATTGCTAAAACATTAAAAAAAATTCATTGAAAACATTAAAATACGAAAAATAAAAAAATAGAATTTTCTGAAAATCAGAACCAAACAAGCTATATGTTTTTTCAAATTATTAAAGGTGTGAACTGAGTAGTGGTGTGCCTTGAGACCAGATGTGGTGTGTAAATAGAGGCACCCTTGCGTTTTAGTTATAAACCACGTGAGTTATGGGGTTATTTCTAGATGATAGGACTAATCCGCACATGGCGCAAATCACATGGGTAAAGTAAAGTTTGCCCTATTAATTAAAAACATATATCATAGAATAGACATTAAAATTTCAAACAATGTTTTTCTCAATAAATATGATTTAGTTTGTTCTTGACTACTCATCCACCTTCTTCTATTCTCTGTAGGTTAGGTTTATATTCGGTACTAGTTATGATAAATTAATTTTTCATATTATATTTCTCTAATGTTTTAAATTTTATATATGGCGTAGTTATGGTAAATTAATTTTTCATATTACATTTCTCTAATGTTTTGAATTTTATAACAATTTACCCCCTGAGGTTTATATTTCATAACAAATTACCCCCTAATTTCTTATGCAAATATAGCATTCAGGGGGGAATTCGTAATTTCTCAAACCTCAGGGGGATATCTGTAATTTTGTCAAACCTGGAGGGGTGTATATGTAATTTGCCCTTTTTCATATTATTTCTCTAATGTTTTAAATTTTATATATGGCGTAGTTATGGTAAATTAATTTTTCATATTACATTTCTCTAATGTTTTGAATTTTATATATGGCGAAATTATAACGCAGTGAGACAGAAAAAAAAAAATATAAAAATATGTAGAATGCAAGTGATTCTGTAATAATGGGTGCAACGGGGAGGGTGCAAGTGTGACTTCCACCCCTCTCTATGGGTTCGTTTAGAAAGTGGGTTAACTTTTTTACTTTCTGACTATTTTAGCCTGTAGCTAAAAAGTTTCGTTTAGGAAGGATTTTTTGATTTTTTTGACTTTTTGTGAGAGAAAGAATATAATGATTATGGATTGGATGTGATATTTTGTTTTATTGGACTAAAATATCTTATTTTGTCTTATATGGCTATTTTAGCCCAAACCTTCATTCCCAAACGGAGGCATATATGTTTGTGAATTTTTTTTTTTCCCTGTTTCATTGGGATGTAATTCTCCCTTTATATATTAACTGCCAATAAATATGAAGTAGTGGCCATTTAAAACTCTTTTTTTTTGGTAAACCTCTAGGGAGGAACCACTTAAATTTTTAAAAAAAAAATTAGAGGTGGCGAGTTTGTATTATTTGGGGATAAGTAATAGCTACGATAATAAAGAGGGTTTTTAGCTAAGAAAAAAAAGGGGGTTTTTTTTTTTTTTTTTTTTTGGATAGCACAAGCGGACCCCTCTTTGCCCCTCTCTTGGTGGTGGGGGATCTGTGAAGGGTCGGCGGCCGCTGTGTGATAATAATGGTTTGTCTTGTTTGGTCCGGAAACTATTTTCACGCAAAAGTTCATTGATTTTTATTTTTTATTGAATCAAACACTAGAAAAAAAGAAAAAAAAAAAGAAAAAAATTGTTCTACTGAATGACGTTAATGTAACTGCCTTTTTTTATTTTTGTTTTTGCTTTTGTTTGTTTAATTTTTGTTGCATATTATATTCAATGATGTGCTTGCCATTTATGCATACACACCCACGAGAACAAACATGTTCAAAAAATAAAATAAAATAAAATAAAATAAAATTATGATACACCAAAATTTCCATTCTGCTTTGCATTTTTGTTTCTTAGACTGCTTCAGTCATCTGCTGTTTCCATTCTTGGGTTGGGAATGCTTTTTTGTTTTTGAAACTAAAAAAAATAAAAAAATTCAAATCACATTAAAAAGACTTGGAAATGAATTGATCAAACATGTCTAGACCACCAAATCCTGCTGCTATTTCCAATCTGATTCTCAATGCACAAATATGGTTGAACCAATGATTTGGCGGAACTGCTTTTCATCCTCTTTATCAAAACCAATGCCTGAACCACCATTATTATCGCCAGGTTGTTGAGGGTTGACTGAATTAACAAACCGACAGTTTCTCCTGATCTCTCCTTCTGTTCCGGTCTTCACATCCACCATCCCCAATCGAACCATGGCATCGGCAAACTTTGCAAGCCAATTCTGTTCATTGCCAGCCATTGCCTGTACTGTCTGTTTTGTCGTGATGTCGTCAGCCATTAACCGGTCTGACTCGATCAATGCCTTCCCTTCCAACAGGTTCTTGTAGAAGATATTGTCCATCCTGAACGGTGTGACGGGGTCAAATGGCATAAATGTTTGTGCCAGGTCTTCAAATGGAACCGGCCTTAGGCATGTATTTCTGATATTGTTGGCATCTGCTGTGGTCAACTTGGGGTCGACTTTGACAGTGGGATTGTACTGGGCTACCCTGTAAAGGAAGGTAGGGCAGTGAGCAATGCCAATTGAATGTGAACCGATTAGAACCACCATATCTTCTACGGTCATGCCTTTGCTGATGAAGAGTTGTGAAATGTTTTGAAGAGGTTGACTAGGAAGTGGGATGTTGCCAGCCACATCTGTTTCTCGGGAAATGAGACCGTCGCGTCGGCCCGCTGCCACCTCGTAGTGCGGGACACCGGCCATGACGGAACCCTCACGGGTTGCATAGGATAATACATCGGCACAGGACACGATTCCAGGGCATTCAGCCTCTATTCTTGCCTTGGCCTCGTCAATGAGTTCGAGTCCTCTCATTCCTTGCCCATTGGCACGTGAATCTTTCTCTACTTTTTCGCCAGATGCAGTTTTATCTAACAAAATCGAGGCATCGCAGCCCTGCAAACCAAATAAATTGAGTCAATTTTTCTCCTATTTATATGGTAAAACCAAAACTTTGTTACTCTCAATAATGGTATTCTAAGTAATTGGAAAAACAAGACTTTAAGGGCTAAAGATTATCTGTGTCCTAAAGATCCTCTCTATCATAAGAACTCTCTCTCTCTCTCTCTCTCTCTTTCTCTCTCTCTCTCTCTCTCTCTCTCTCTCTCTCTCTCTTTCACTCTGTGTCTGATCCTTCTCTGTCTGAGTTTGATCTTGTAATAATACTCTTATATATATATATATATATAATTTTGTTGACAAGATTCTTATACCAATTGAAAATATGTACAAAAATTGAATACAAATGACATGGCTGAACTTGAACCTATAATTTAAAAAGAAAATAGATTTTGCATTCTCCAAGATAACCTCTATAAGTTTTTTTGACAAAATTAATTCTACAAATTGAAAATTTGATAAAATTTGAATACCAAATAATATAAATCTATAATTTCAGAACAATGAACAAGTCATTCTGGTCACAAAAAAACAAAAGAAAAAGAAATGTGATCTCAATCTTAGTTTTTTTACTGGTTAGAATCTATTGTCGAGTAGGTCATCTGATTTGATAGATAAGGATTTACTTAATTATAAGAAAGAAGATTGCGAAAAACTTACATGGACAAAACAATCATGGAAAAAAAGGCGAAGAAAGCCAGCACTAACGCCTGGATCTTTTTTATAGGCTTTAGTGACAACCTCATTCACAATTTGCTCAACTTGTGGGCAGGTATTCCCATAGAATCCGACTCGTAGGTCTTTCAATTGAGTGACGCCACCAAACCCATGCCTAGCGACCTTTCCATGCCTATGCCTATGCCTAAAGCCCGAAGCTAGTGGATGCCTAGCGTTCGAAGCTAGCGGAAGGAAGATAGAGCACAAGATGAAGATTGTTGCACGTACTCTAATTCTTCCTTCCATTTTATTTTATTTTTTTGTTTGAATATTGCTCGTGGTGGAATGTTTATTGACATTTTTGTTATGAAGGTGAAGGATAGTATATATAGGCAAAATGTGATGGAGAAGCTAGGGTGGTCGAGCTTTTAGGCTATTTTTGGAGGGTATGAAAGGCAACAACCCTATGTTGAAGGGACTCTCAAATGTGATCTATGTGTGGTTGGGATTTGTGGAAGTGTCTAAAATTGACAATATTGTTATGGTGCAAATGTAACCAGTTCAACTCCATGATAAAAATAGAAGGTCAAAAGCCTAGAATTATTATATATGATCGATTGTTTTTTTTGGCTATTTTAAGAGTCCTATAAAACTCTTTCAATTTATTTATTTACGCTGTGTTTAGTTTGAGATTTGAAAAAAGAAAAAAAAAAAAGGTATATAAAATTAACTGAAACGTAAGTATATTTTATTCACATTTTATTTACTTTTACCCTTTTCCTTTTTAAATCTCTTCCTAAATTCTCCAATCAGATACAGTGTTAATAAGTAAAGAATTTGTGAAAAAATATTTTAAAAATTCACTAAACATAAAAAATATATATATATATATACAAAATTCAGTACAATTTCTAAATTTTTAAAAATATTTTAATTTTTAGGTACATCTAAGTTAGCTTCATCTAGCCCATAAAAAATATAAAAAAAGAAAAAAAAATTGACTAAAAAATGAAAAACAAAAAACTTAAAAACAACAAAATATGAAAGACAAAAAAACTCAAAACCAAATAGAGTAGATATTGTTTAGTCTAAAAGTTTTTTCTCTCTCTCTCTCTTACTTCATAAAATTTGTGAAACTTAAGTTTGTGGGCCGACCCCATCTGTTAAAATTTCTAATTTCTAAAGTCATCATTGCACAAAAACAAAAATAACTTTCACTTTAGGGCCGACAACATAATTCGCCATTGGTAACTTTTTTATACACCAGCTTAACATACTAGGAACATTTAAAACTTTTTATCGCAAAAACAAAAAAGAAATAACATTTTCTCTTTCAAATTTTCACGTATTTTTTAATTTGATCTCATATTTTGTATAATATTAATTTGCCCTTTAAACTTTTGAAATTTTGATTAATTTGACCCATACTGTCACATTCCATCTACAATCAACTGAAACTTGCAGACGTGACACCAAATTTCATTTAAAACTTCATTTTGCTCTCCAAATTATATCTTAAAAATTAATTAGCTCCTCAAATATAAAAAAATTAAATTTAAATATTTAATAAATAATTTTTTCATCTCAATAATGAAAAAAATTAAAATTTAAATAATATATACTTTGCGCACATACACAAAAAAAAAATCCTCATTTACAATTATCTTAAGATTATGAAGTATGGGTACTTCGACAAACATGTGTACCTGTTCCCGGTGCTCATTGACGTATGGTATTTCTTTTTCTTAATTTTTGACATACCCAAACATACCTAGTATATATACTTAAGTTGTGCCGTACTTCAGCCCAAACAATCTTTTTTTCTACTATAGAGATAAAATTCTTTTTGTTAGACTTCTTTTTCATTTTTAGTTTTATGCTTAGCATGATTTTAAAAAAAAAGTTATGGTTTATAAGTTATTTAATATAATGACATTTAATTTTGATTTATCTTATGCCTGTACTTTTGACATTAAATGTCAATTTTATGTTGAATCTTAACAAATCAAACCATTTAATCAAATTTTATATTATTCCAAATTGAAAATAAATATTTTTTACAAACGTATCAAGCTGTTCCCGTATCCTACTTTTTTTAGATTTTACTGTATCGATATACCTGTATTATACTAATATAGTACCTATACCTGTGTTTCATAGGTCTCAAATTATCTCTAGTTGATCCTAGAGAAACTTATTGAGTCGAAAATTTCTTGGCTACTCTATATATGCACGGGCGCGCAATTGTAATTAGTTTATTCTCCAAATTTTCAATAGAATTGACGAACTAATAGTAATTTCAAAATTGAGTAGGAATTTTTTTTTTTTTAAATTCAATTACTGTCTAAAGAATACTCAACATGACTAATACTTAATTTTTTTTATAATTTAAAATTTCATGTTTGAGATAAAAAATTATTAATTATTAGTTGAATATTAAATATATATATATTTTAATATTTGAGTGGCTTATTAATTTTTAAAGTATAGTTTTGGGGGATAAAATGAAATTCTAAATGAAATATGATGTCACCTCAAGAAGTTCCATTTAATTATAGATAGCATGTGACTTCAGAGGCCAATTGATCAAAATTTCATAAGTTTGGAGGACAAACTGATATTTTACGAAATTTGGAGATTAAATTAAAAAATGTGAAAAAATTTAGGGACAAAATGATATTTCCTCGGCAAAAAATCGTAACTTAGACCATTTTTAAAAGTCCACGTCATATATGATTTCTACTACGTACTCACGCATGAATCCATAGATTTTGTGTGTGTTCAAGAGTTGTAGCAGAAGAACAGAAGTGAGAGGGTAATTTGTAAACAAATTGGGCCGAGTTAGGAAGAGTCTTCTTTGGGAGCTGGGCTGCGTAATGGGCCGAGATAAGGGTCGGAGTATGGACGATGCGTAGCTCGGTCCCTTTTTATTTGAGTACCAAACTGGGCAAGGGCGTTGACCGAGCTACCTAAATAGTAGGCCCAAGGGTTGGCTGAGGTGTTTGGTAAGACAGATAGCCGAGCTATACAGGGTTGGCCGAGGTGTTTGGTAAGACAGATAGCCGAGCTAGGTATAGCTCAGTCGATGCTTCTATTCCATTACTTAGTTGAGCACAGAGCCGAGTTAAAGATGACAGCTGAAGTAAAGAAAGTTCTGTAGCAAACCGAGGTAACATCAATGGCGATGGCCGAGCTTTGTATAGCTCAGCAATGTGGCATTCGATAGATCGGCTTTCGATCACATGGTCCGAATGACAGGGGACCGAGACAAGGCAGTTCGATCAGAAATATATAACCGAGGTAAAGGGTTCAGCCATCTCACTTGGCTTGCAGTGATGAGACTCCTAGTAGGACTCTGCTAAGGAGAGTTAAAGTCTTACTGGGATTGTGCAAACCATCTCACTTGGTTGGTAGTGAGTAGGAGTATGACTCCTAGGAGGACTCTGCTAAGGAGAGGAGAGTCCTACTAGGATTATGCAAAACCATCTCACTTGGTTGGTAGTGAGTTTGGTGTGTGATTCCTAGGAGGACTCTGATAGGGAGAGTTGGAATCCTACTAGGATTGTGCCAAAGTAAAGTCTATAAAAGCTCATGACCAGACCTATGTACAGGTATCCCAATTCTTACTCTAGAATACACAGAACTTATTGTCTATTGTCTAGTTGCTAACTTAGGCATTGGACGGGTTTCCGACACACACCCGCTAGCTAGCTCACAGTTGTGTTTTCAGGAAGTAAAGTGACGACGTTTAGAGGAGCGCAAACTTGATCAACAGGATCATACGAGAAGAATTATTTCGTGCTCGTACAATTGGCGCCGTCTGTGGAAATTTCATAAAGAGAAAAACCTCTTGATCAAATTTTCCTCTCTAGTTGAAAGCAATGGCGAACAATGAAGACTTAACGTAATCTGCTATTGATGGGCAAACACCGGAAGGGGGTGGGAGGCACAAAGGTTTACCTTCTATCCCACCCATGGCAAAATTAGATCCCCAGCGAAGGAATTCGCAGAGAGAAGCAAGAGAAAGACAGGGCTCAAGTCCACACCGCTCTCAAAGTCCTAATAGACAGAGGCGGAAGATGGATCCTTAGGTTCTCGAAGATCGCGTAAGGGAGCAAGACGAAGTAATAAGAAGAATGACAGCTGATATAGAGACGATGAAGCACCAGATAAAAGGCAACACACACTCTTGCCACTCAGAAGATCGTGACAGACAAGTCACATTATCACAAACTAAAAGTAGAAGCCTCAGGTCGAGTGATACACAATCAAAGACTTCCAGGACACGCTACTCCAGGCCTGAGAGAATGAAGACTGAAAGGGCTCGAAGGAGAAAAGACACTCAGGCTTGCGACCCCCACAGAGTCTTCGCATTACAACGATTGGTTCCTAGAACACATGGGAGCGTCGAGGTTGGAATTCCATAGCCACGCCTTGCCTATGAACCAGCAGACAAAGCGTTAGCAAGGTTGCAGAGCTTACCGCTCGTTCCGACAATAGAGAACGCACCATTACCCTCAGCCTTGGTGACCTGGGTTTAACGTGGTTTGAGAGGTTGCCAGAAGGTAGCATAGCTTCGTGGGCGCAACTAGCGGAGACATTTGTGACCAGATTCAGAACAAACACCAAGGCGGAGTTCGGCACAAACAGCGATGTCGAACAGAACACCTTCGACAAAAGTTAGCATGGTTGACAAGAAGGACTAACCAAGTAAAAAATCTTTGCCCAACTGGGGGCAAAGTGGGTTGGCAGGATTGACCAATCCTTTCTAAATAAAATCAGAGTTGGCTGGAATAACCAACTTTGAGTTCTCTTCAACTAGGATTAGGATCTAGGCTGAACAGGTTGGCTGGAAAAACCAACACTTCTCCTAAGCCGAGGATAAGGATCTAGGCTGCAGGACGTTTGACTGGAAAAACCAAACACTTCGTTCAGAGTTGGCCGGAATAACCAACTTTGAGCTCTCTTCAGCTAGGATTAGGATTTGGACTGAAGAGGTTGGCTGGAAAAACCAACACTTCTCCTAAGCCGAGGATAAGGATCCAAGCTGCAGGACGTTTGGCTGGAAAAACCAAACACTTCGCTCAGAGTTGGCCGGAATAACTAACATTGAGCTCTCTTCAGCTAGGATTAGGATTTGGGCTGAAGAGGTTGGCTGGAAAAACCAACACTTCTCCTAAGCCGAGGATCGGGATCCAGGCTGCAGGACGTTTGGCTAGAAAAACCAAACACTTCGCTCAGAGTTGGCCGGAATAACCAACTTTGAGCTCTCTTCAGCTAGGATTAGGATCTGGGCTGAAGAGGTTGGCTGGAAAAACCAACACTTCTCCTAAGCCGAGAATAAGGATCCA